GCTGCAAAGTCAGAGGGCCGCTCCAAGCTGACAGCAAAGTCAAACAAGAGCACTGCGTATTTGCAAGTTTCAGACGGTGTCTTCTCCATCGACGATGATCCGGCAGTCCGCGCTGACTTCGCAGCCAACCCAAACAAGTATGCAAAAGCCGTCGACAACTACATCACCAACACGTAAGTACCGAACTAAGGCCTTTGGCGTCTTGTATCTAACCATTTTCATTAGGCTCAAAAAGCAGTATCGTGCCGTGAATGAGCGTATTGGCAAGACAGGTGCTGGCTTGAAGCCGGAAGATATCACACCAGGCAGTGAGATTGCCAATCTAATTGGTATGTGAATCGGTGTGCACTCTGTTCCTGTGCAAATCTGATCAATCCCCACAGAGCAGGAAACGCAGAACTTCAAGTGGTGGCCGAGGCTACATGGCTTCTGGCGAACCCTACCAAACTTCAACCCATACACTGTTTCGTCCGACCCAGGACAGGATTTGTCGGACGCAGCGCTTTCGGTGCTGATGGGAGGACACGTTGATTTGGGCTTGGTATGGATATACTTTTTTTGATGGATGTGACTGATTGTAGCTATTCAGGATGAAGGCGAATCTTGTAGCCTGCGGACGACCTCATGGGTGTCACCAGATCTTGACGATGTCAACGTCTCGGTCGGCTCCACTCCAGCCAACTCCACGCCCTCCAATTACGATGCCTCCACAGCATGCGAGCAGCTCACGTCTACTGCTGGTAATAGCAAGGTCACAACTGAGGCTAGGTCCAGGACGCCGTCTAGCACTCAGAAATCAAGAGCAATGACAAAGCGCACCATCCAAGATATGTTCACTGAAGGATCCGCGAAGGAGCATGAGATGCTCGACCGTTTGCGGACACAGAGGCACGAGCGGGCGTTAGGTGAACAGGAGCTGAAGCGTCGTAAGCTGGACCACAAGGCGATGGAGAAGCAGCACCAGCGTGAGCGTGAGCGTGAGCAGCATGAATTCCGTATGTTGCAGATGCGGGTGATGATGACACAGAACTCACGAGCTGCGCCCACGGCGATGCAACCATCTGTAGAGGGCATGGCTGAGTTGAATGATACCGCGTTGCCATTCAGTTCATGCCCTACCTAATCTCCCAAAGACAGTCACTACATATGTTTCAACAATTGTCGTACATAGTTTTGCTAAGAAATCAAGTTGTCAATTGTAGACATGCTGATTTGTGTTCGCTGTTCGCTTTCTCGTCAAGTCTCGCGCGGCATCTGATCCCCTTTCCTCCTCCCGCCTCTGCCGGTCTTCCCTTTGGGACAACATTTTGCATTCGTGTTGCAGTGCAGACAGCAAATAATGGTGTTATTAAACTATGGGCGATGTTGGACAGTAAGGGAAGGGCTATTGAATAGGTCGCTCATGAGTTTAAGTCGGAACCGCTGCCCCGGAGTCTCCAGTCTTCGCCGTGCCCGTTCCAAATCGTTCACCGGCTCATCCTCATCCGCATCAGGAATACCACCATGCAAACAATCCAAACCTGTTTGCACAAGGCCATCCCTCCATCTCTCGTCGAAGTTGTCGCCTTCAATACGGATGATGAGGTTGTGTAGAACGATACAGACGCGAGCCCACATGATGACGATCATATGGCGCCGGGAGTCAGTAAGCTGAATTCTGATCTCCTTTAGGGACTGGAATGTTCCCTTCAGCAGCCCCATCATGTGCTCGACTCGGATACGGATCTGTAAAATGGTAAGTCTTGTTCAGTTCGGACAGCTGCATCTAACTCACCTTGGATACCCAGTAATTGTATGTTCTCTGGTCCGCGGTAAGCTGCCCATTGACAGGCTTCTTGAACGGTGCGACGCTCCAGATCTCCGGTGTGTATGCTGAGTCTGCCCACATCCATTCACCAGGCCTAAAAATCTTGTCATGGTACTTGAATGTCCGGGTGCTTCGGAAAGCCCACGCGTCGTGCACACTCCCAGTATGACCCAGCGAGTAATCAGCTATTAAAAGATTGTGGGGAAGGCAGACGATCTGGACCAGGTAAGCAAGTACTCGATGGCAGAGGAGATCGCTCACGTACCTGACAGTCAATGGAGTAGTCCTTGTTCTTGTCGAACCACGCCTCACCGTGTAGTCCAGGCTTCTGGAAAAGCCGGAACTTGGTCCCATCAGCAAGCAGGAATCCGTTTCGCCACTCTGGACATGTGGCGGCCTCCACGTAGTCCTTCGCCCGGTGCTTCTCTTCCTCAGGTGGTATCATGACCGCTTCATCATGAAGGGCTAGGAAAGCAATGAGACAACGGTACGTCGCGTTGATCACTGTCCCACTGGAAACCCCAGCCCACTGAGCAACGTATTCAGGTGATGACGCGTTGCCATAGTGCCCAACACGGACGAGGAAAATAGCGAGCTGGATAGGGATGGGAAGCTGAGGGACATTGGAGTTGTTGTAGAATATCTTGTGGGTTTGAAGGAGTTCTACAAGTCTGTCGAAGACCAGTGGTGAAACACGTAGTTTCTTTCGAAAACGGTCCGGATGATCACGTCGAAAGTCAGTCAGATAGAGGTCTGACTGACTCAACTTCTTCACTGGAGCACGTACCTCCAGGACCCGTGCTGTAAGTATGTGATGGCTAGCGCCTGTATCTGGGTATCCCAGCACTCAAACACTCTGTCCTCAGGGTCGTCAACGTCCGAGTCTTCAGAATCGCTGGAACTGTAAGTTGAATGGGAACCCAATGAGGGAGAACTAGAATTGACTGATGTGGATGATGCAGAGGATGTGGAAGACGTGGAAGATGTGGAAGATGTGGGAAGATGCGGACTCGGAGATGGAAGACAGAGAGGAAGTTGAAGACGACGATGTGTCGGCACCGGACTGAGTGTCTGAGCTGGGGAGGTCGTCTAGGAGCTCGGACACCATGGATTGGATACGAGCCCGCTTTGTTGGACATGGTAATCTCCCACTTGTTGAGCATGTGTGTCCGTTTGGATACGGCAGGCATGGCATATGCAGCGTGTCTCCAGAGGCAAGAGGAAGTCCAATTCAAACTCAGACTGACACTACCCTATGTTCACCCACGTCCACACGTCCGCAGAACCCACACAAAGCCTGGCGACGCGGGGTGTTGTGACAACGCTGATAGTGGTTAAGGTGAGTGGACACCCATGTTTTTGGTGCCCTGGAACTGACAGGGTGTGTATCTGGGTAGGTTGTCTTTGTAGCGCGTGGCGACATCACCCACACCCTCAACTCAGGCCCCGGGCCTCCTGCAATGCGACGGCCTCCTCCCAAGGAGACATTTCCCCTCAAGACTACAGGTGGCGGCCCCCCCAGAGCATGGCGCCTCATCCGGGGCTCGCTCCCCTTGGTCGGTCGCTTTTGTGCAGGCCAGTTGGCCTCGCACATAGCCCTGACCATGGGCAACTCGATTTTCGCGGCAGATTTGTAAAACTTCCACAGCGTTCCTTGCAGTGCCCTTTGCGTAAGGTCATCTACCCAGGTGTTCGCTCAAGCGTTTGAGTTATTTCTGCAGAAGATGTCAACTTATCCGCAGCAGCAGGCTTATAATCAGCCTTCATTTCCACATGCCTATCCTGTGGCTGCGGTACCTCAGCCAGTGCCCACCCGCGACCCCCACGCCCCTTCGCACGGGGGTGCTTCAACAGCGCCCATCCATGGCCACCCACCCCCGACGCCCCTTCGCACACAAACGCATGGGGGTGCGTCAACAGTGCCTGCCCACGACCACCCACGCCCCCTCGCACGCAAACGCAGGGGTGCGTGCAACAACGTCCGCCCGCGGCCCCCCACCCCCTTTGCCTGCAAACGCGTGGGGGTGCATCAACGGTGCCCGCGACCCCCCACCCCGGCACCCCCACCCCGGCGCCCCCTCGCACACGAATGTTCGGGGAGTTTGTCATATTATGTGTACCTTATTCCTACTTGAGTAGTGTATACCTCTCTAGTATCTAATGTATATAGTGGCTTAATTTAATCGAATTTTTTTAAATTTAATGTGTTTAGTGGGAGGCGGCATTGCCCCCACTACCTCTTTGTTGTGCCGTTGTGCCTGGGTTTCCCCCCGTGTGATGTGTGAGACGCGTGAACGCGTGAGCCTGCCACGTGTGATGATGACTTTAGGGTGGGCCAAGGCCCACTTAATGGGACTCGCGACTTGTCATTTTTCGTTGCAGTGAGGGGCCTCGGACACCGGACCGGACCAGAGTTTTTCGAAGTTTAAACTCAGTTAGGTGGTGCCAAAAATTTTCCAGTCTACAAATAAGTGATTATTTGCTACTTATTGTGATTTCAGGGGGAGGGGGGTTTCAAAGTTGGACTTATTTCCCACTTATTGGGTTTCTTATTTGGCCACTTATTGGGCATTTGGCTGTAAAACGCGAATAAGTGACCAAATAAGGAGCCCAATAAGGAGGAAATAAGTCCAACTTTGAACGACCCTAATATAAGAATATCCCCTATCTGTTTTGAGTTGGCAATGTACCACCTATCCATGTAACACAATTCCATATTGGTGATGATCTTGGAAAAGAATAGCATATTGGCATTATAATCAAAGGGGGTGACATTCTTATTGCATGGTGTCCCCAGATCTGTGAGGCCTTGCAAGAGTTTGTATCATCAGATATTATTAGAGAGAGACATTGTAAGGCAATACAAGAATATCCCCTACCTGTTTTGAGTTAGCAATGTATCACCTACCCATGTAAAATAATTCCATATTGGTAATGATCTTGGAAAGGAAACGCATATTGGCATCATAATCTAAGGGGGTGGCCTCCCTCTTGTATGGAGTCTCTAGATCAGTGAGGTCTTGCAAGGCCTTGCAAGGGCATATGGCATTGCAGGTTATTTCAGAAAGTGGAAAGTCAACCTGAAACCAAAGGTTACATAGTCAGATTCCTTGGCTTTAATTAGTAATGATTACATGCCCACATTTTATTTAACTCTACAGGTTAAGATGTAAAACCCAAGTTATGAACCCATGGCTAGGTAGCTCAATGGTAATGGTAGAGTACCTGGTATATTTTCAGGAGGCCTGGGTTCAACCCCCAGTCTGGTCCACTTTTCCTACAATAGCAATGTTATGCATTGTGGAGAACATAGTACAACTGGAAAGTTCCAGTAGCCCTACCTATTTGGGCATTGGCTCTGATGTTAAGTTACTTAATATAACTACTGTAGTACAATTAAAATAAATAAATAAATAAATAACACTAAAAGTACACATATATAAAGATAGTTTTTGCATATACACAACTAAAAAGATACCTATTAGCTAATAATATTGCCTCATCACACCAGAAAGCTCAATATAAGCCCTCATTTTTAGCTAATAGATGAAAATCTTATCTACCCCTTGCCTCATCATTCTCATCAGATAAAGGTTAGGCCTTATGTGAGGAAATCATCTGAGGGGACACCTTTTAGTGCATATTCTGGCAATGATATTATAATGGTTTACTATATCAGACCAATATTACTAGGTAACACTAAATTGGTGTAAATCTTATAGTAGATGCAGCCTTTATATACGTTCACTAAACACCTGTAATAAAATCACTGAATTGGCCAAGCCATGTAGGTGAGGTGGCCCTTACATGTCCTTATAAGGACCATATATTTGTTTTGCACTTTTTGAGATGGCAGGTGAACGGGAGGCAGATGAGAGGCTTGATGGTGGGAAGTGAGATCTAGTGAGAACCTGCCAACGTGACAACGTCGCCGTTTGAAGATGACCGAGTTTCGCACAACAGCAGAAAATATATTAGCGCTCTATCGGCGCGGACTATTCACTTTCTAAGGAAACTAATCACTTTCTAGGACAGCTAAAGTATCTACATATGACTGGAAATGCCTTTCGGCTTCCTGGGTAGCACTGATATGCTTATTTTTGTAACCACTCTTCAAAATTTGAAGGGCCTCAAACATCGCAGGACTTAGCCGATTGCGGAGCGATGTACCTGTCAAACCTCTGCTAGAGAAAGCTCGCTCTGATGGAACAGAGGAGCCTTGAATGGCGAGATAATCGCGCGCCATGCAAGATAATGTCGGGCATCAGGAAAACGGCAAAATGCTGAATGCTTCTTAATGCCTCTTAATGCCTCTTATCCGCTTATTAAGAAGGGCACCCTGCTTAATAAGAGCCAATAAGAAGCATAAAGAAGCATTAAGAAGCATTCAGCATTTTGCCGTTTTCCTGATGGGTATTGCACGGTATGTTGCTATAACGGCAAAATGAGTTATGATACTACCAGAGAATACAACGACTTACCCCCCACCATGCCACAACGTTCTCAACATCCTCCAACGGGCTTTCCAGATACACGCGAAGCTCCTTGCGTGGAGTTACAGCCGAGCGGTCACGGGTCTGACGAGTTCGGAGAGTTTGCCGCATCCAGCTGTTGCCGTACTGGACTTTAGAGCCGCTCACGGCTGACATGCCAGTGGGATCATTTTAGACAATATATCCCGATACGCTAGATTGAAGCCTTACCTGGCCCTTGATTGTCATCGACAGCTGAAGTCACTGGTGGTTTGTAGTACAAGTCAAACTGTGATTAGAGTAAGAAAAGTGACCCAAAATCCGAGCGGAAACAAACGCACCACCAGTTTAAGACAGCTGACTGCGTCTGCCAACTGCTCGGCATCCCATTTATCTTCAGCATATGCCAACTTGACATTCAGGTCGAGAACTGATGTGTGAGCGATGCATGGGGTATAGGGTATTACGACAGCGTCGCAGCAAGATGTGACAGAGGGTGGTCAGTTAGGCAAGGTTTGTTGGATCGTTTGGGAAGACGTACCAAGACAGATGAAGTATGCGTCCGTGTCATTGGTCTTTCGATACCACTTTCCCAAGTTTTCCAATCCAGATTGTATGGCATGCGAAATTTCCGAGAACCTTGGATGTTTCGCAAAATTACCCCAACTCTCCTGCAAAAACTCCAGAACGGGTATTGTGCGCCACACCGTTGGGTCTTGAGAGCTTGAAAATGATTGATGTGCCTCCGAGGGTTCCTTTTGCAAATTAAAACAATTGCCAGTGAAAGCGAAAATATGAAGACGTACACATAACACCTCATGCATCAGCTTGAGTTTTTCCCAGTCCTTTTTTGTCAGCTTAAAGTCCGAGTATGATTTTCCATGAAGATCTGGTACTTCGTCGCTATCATCTGCACCCTGGACGAATCGGTTGATGGCCTAATAAAAAGGTATTAGGTGTTGTAAAGCTTGAGACGGATCACAATTGAAACGTACTTGTTGTAGAGCAAGGATGTGATCAAGAAAATTGTACAGGGATGCCCATCGAGTCTTGACCCAATATAGAAGGTGAAGACGAGGAAGACCCACTTCATCGCACATCTTTTCAAAGAACGCCCGTGCTTGAGGTGACTTGCGAATCTTGTGAAAGACACCGTGAGCTCTGGGAACGTCCTCGAAAATTGACTGCGTATCTGATTAACCAGAGCAAGCGCTTTTCCAATGCTATCAGCAATCTCGATACCACCGTCTCCACCTCCATCATCTGCACCGTCGTCCCCATCCTCGACATCTTCGATATCCGCAAGCTTGGCTTCGAGTTGATCTAGGTCATAGATGTCCCCATCACGCGCATTCTGGACCACACGTTGAACCTTTTTCAAGACGTTGTGAGACGACGTCGGTGCGACTCCTTTGACAAAGTGTCCAGCTCCCAAATGAAGAGAATGTTCCATGCACCTCATGGAACAAACTGTCAGTACGTTGTAACGTAATGTAAAAGAAGACGCACCTGATCCTTCGCTGAGCGGGAATCCAACGAGTACCATCAGGGTCGACAATTTTACCAAACTCCTTCATCGCCGTGTCGTTGTTGCTGGCATTGTCGGATGTAAACCATCCAGCCTGCTCATTGTTAGTACTTGTTCATGTGTTAGAGATCAGTACATACCTTTTGACGGATACCAAACCGGTCGACAGTGCGCACAAGGACATTGGCTATGTTGGCACCCGAGTGGTGACCTTCGAAAGGCACAAATGCCAGTTGTTCAGACTTGAGTTCCCAATCCCGAGGGCTGTTTTTTGGGGCAGAGATATAGTGGCCAGTTATTGAAATGTATGGATCACCCATCTCGGATGTCCATGTATCGAACGTGAAAGAAATTTGACCAAGCACATCCTAAAGAAGTAGGTAAGTATCACTGATCCAAATGTTACACGAAACAGTCACACATACCTCGAATTTGTCCCGCATACGACATTCTATGATCTCGGCACGGTTGAGTATTTCTTGACGAACCTTCGTACAGTGCGGAATGTCTTTGTTATGCAAAGATGGGCGGAAGTAGGTTAGAAGACAGCGGAACACAGGTTTATCCACCAATTGGAAAGCCTGGTCAATATGGTCAGTCAACATATTGTCATTAAACAAATTGACTTACCGCATCTTCGCAAACGACCAACTCAATGATGTAGTCGAGGAGCCCAGCTGTGGTGAACTGTGGGACACGGGGTTTAGCGCGGATGGCACTGTCAAGGGTGGTTTGAGATAAACTATATGAGATAATGTTAGATTACGAAGTATAAAGTGATGAAATGCACTAACGTCCATTCAATTTCATGTCCTTTGGGGATAGCACATTCGTTCATAGAGATTCCCAGCTTGCTACAACGGTCCTTATGGGCCTGGAAGTGATCATCGTGCCTCGTAAAAGGGAATAAGTTGGAGCAATATATAGAAGAGGCGGATTGTTGATTACCTTGCAATGTGGGTTCGCAGCGTCGACACTCCACCTTTGAACCACGTTAATTTTCTAGGGAGCCCTTTCCTCCTGTTACAGACTGTTAGCATTCTACATCAACTGTTAAAAGAGACGACTGCACCTGCAAATGGTGCACCAGTGGCCCTTTTCTTCCTTGCCGGTGTCAGGATCTGTCTCGACAGTATTGCGAATGAAAATTGTGCCGAGGTCAGCAGTGCGTTCGAGCTTTGTGTGAGTGTCATTGGCCTGCCATGCCACTCAATAGTCAATACAACCTATGTTACATCAGATATTCAGGCTTACCTCGCGGTCTGCATCGCCCATCTCTTTGGTTCGATCGTACGCACCCTGCACCTCATCAGCATCTGTACCACCAGGACCATCACAGTCCATTGAGTCCGTAGCCTCGGTGTCATCCACGGCCTCGAGTGAAGGCGCTGAATCATCGTCACTGTCGGCCTCACCCGAGTCATTGGATTCGGGTACAATCTTCTGCACAACGTGGCGACGGGGTAGGTTGTCGATAGCCCTACGCTTCCTAGCCATGGCGTGGTTGCTCGAAGAGTTGGCAGCGTCTTGAAGCCGTGCTGAGGGTTTCAAAGGACAAGTGGTGCGACGAACACCGACTGTGTTGACGGCTGGCTGATGGGTCAGAAAAAAATTGTCAAGGGTAGATCCCGATGAGGAACCTGCCAACGCAGGTCGTGGTGTTGGAGCCATAACCGATGGACCTGTTAAGGGTTCAAGGTCATCAGGGTCGTTGTAGAAGTCGATTTTGGAGGGTGATAAAAGAGTGCCATCGCTTGAAACAGCACAGCCAGACATGTTAGAGAGGGTTGGAGAGGTGAGTGTGGTCGGTAGGGAATGATGGGGTGTGGGAGGCCAAGACGGGGGAAACGCAAGGGGCGGAGACCACGAATGACAGGGAAGGGATGGGGGGGTGAGATATAGGAGCAGACGAGTCAGACGACGAGCGGTCAATACCAGAGGGTGAAGCACTGAGGATGGAAGACTGAGGGGGAAAAATGAGGACAAAGGCAAGGGCGACAATGTCACGTCAATATAAAGGAAAAGGGAACTGGGAGCAGGCTGCGTCGACGTCTTGAGAATCTGAGACATGAGGGATGGCATTGACATGAGGGATGGTGCCGACATGAGAATCCAACGCATGCAAGCGATGATTGCTTCGACTTCATGTGCATCAGTGATCATCAAAAGTGGAGAAATGGAGAGGGTGCAGGGTAGGGTGGAGGTGGTGATCCGGTGAGGAAGGCAAAGTTGAGACGGAGATGAGTGTTGACTAAGTAATACTCTCACGG